CGGAAATGGTGAGGTGGATGACAATGAGATCATCGTTGTCTGATGAAGGAAGGTCAAGGTGGAAACTCTTTTAAAAATCCTGTTAACATAAGTACAATTCTTACTAGTTCCACTATTATTTTCAAAGCACAATAGATCTTATTTTTTGAACTCATTTCTCCTCCAAAAGGATAGAAAAAGAAAAGTTTGTCCTGAATATGCAACAACATTGAAGCTCCATGTTCTCCCTCTCATTATGTGTTGTGTTGTCAGGGAGAATTTGTGGCATGTTTGTTGGCGCTTCTGCGACAGATGAGTGACAAGCACTATCAGAAGCTGCTGCAGGCGTTCAGCAGCAAAGACGACCTGAGGGTAAGACCACTCGATCTTTCTCTCTATCCCTCCATCCATATCTGTCCGTCTGTCTCTACTCCTGATTGTGTCTGTCTGCAAGTCTAAAAGTAAAAGATTATAAGTAATGCCTGTTGATGGCATTACTACAATTTCTACAAATTGTGTAGAATTGGGCAGGAGGAAAAATAAGAGACAGAAAGATATTAAGTTCATGGGTTTGCTCTATTGGGAATTAATGTTAACTGAAGTAATGTGCTTTTTGTGAGTTCTATTTTTGATACATGTATCAAAAAAGTGTAATCAAAAGAGTTTACTAAGTGAACCCTGATGCTGGGTTTGGTGGTAAAACCTAAGTGAAACATGCAGATGAAACCAGATTTACTGCTTTCACATGTGCAGCGCATCTTTCTAGAGGCTCAGACTTTGAGTGTATAATATTATTACAGTTGAAAACACAGCACATCCTATCCTATGTACAGACTACATAGTTACATAGTAGATCTGCATTTGCCTTAACACTTGAGAAGTGTTAGGATCAGATATTTGTGTACAGTGTAGTGTCCTTAAATAGAGCTGATATTAACAATTCAGCACCATGGACAGATGCAGAGGAAGTTGTTCTACCTTCATACTAACTCTGAGCAGATTTAATGTGGTTCACACTGGAAAAGAGCCCCTTTTCCATTAGTACCTACTTGGATCAACTCGCCACAGCTCACCACCGGTTTCAGGGTTTTTCATTAGGTCATAGTACCTGTATGGCCAGGGTTCCAAAGCGATCCACGCAGGTTCTAAAATGTGATGTCGTCAGACTGCATGCCACCAATTGGCTGGTCAGTGGTGTCACTCGATGAGTCATAAGAGCATCTTGTTTGTTAATGGAAAATCGGTCGATCCAAGTCTATCAGAGGAGGTACAAATGGAAAAAGGATCTGCAGTGAAGTTTTAGGTTGTTTGTTTTCCCACAGAGCGTGCAGAGATAAAGAGAAGTCAAGAAGCAGCTTATAGCTAGAAAATATTAAAATGGCCAACAGAAACACAGACATTTCTTTTATATATTTTTAATTACACCTAATATATAATAGGATAGTAAATGGTTGTCAGAAATAAGCTCCATCCCGAAACTTCTGCAATAACTCTTTACTGAGTAACAAACTTGTTGTGTGTTTGTGTTTGTGTTGCAGGATTTCCTCCTTCATATCTTTACAGTCTTCAGGATCCTAATCCGACCAGAAATGTTCCCTAAAGACTGGACTGTCATGAGACTGGTCACGAACAAGTAAGAACACACACGCAAACAAATCAAGGAAAGCAGGAAGAGGACACGAATGAGGACAGACAGGAAATCAGAGGCTCATGCAGATATGCAGTATGCATCTCACTCACAACTGGTCGTTTATTCTGTTTGTGTGCTTTCATCTGCTAAAATATTCAACCTCGGTTCTCTCAGTTAACACTTGAGTTTGATCGCACAAAAAGCTTCAGAAGATGGAGAGATTTGAATGTAGTGTGCTCATTTAATATGAGAGTAAATGCAGTGCTTATCCATCCATATTATTGTCTGGAGGTCACTATCAAGTGACACAGAGATGATATCATACAGGAAAAACAAGTAACAGTTTCATAATAAAAAGTTTTGTCAGGCAGAAAAGTGTAATTTAAAAATGTTATGCCTTAGCTGTTTATGGTTTTGCCTCTCTGCTCGTATTTTCCTTTAGCAGTGCAGAATGGAAATGACAGATTCCCCTCCGAGGTGACACAGTAGTAATCTTCTCCACCTCTTGCTTTCTGCGTCCCTTTTTGTTCTTTTAGTGTCATCATCACAACTGTCCTCTACCTTTCTGACGCTCTGAGGAAAAACTTCCTCAATGACAAGTTTGACTACAAGGTAAGGAAAGTTGGCAGGCTTTGTGTGCGTGTGTGTGCGTGTTGTCTGAACAGTGCTGCAGTGCTTCAGAAGTCTGAATGTCAAAATAGCTTCAAAAAGTCTGCTGCATTACGTTACTACTGACACACAGGCAGGCACATATATAATATGGAAGTTCATCACACATCACAAAAACTGAGACATGGATATAAAATCGAGCTAATACTATTATTTAGATGCTTAAGGCAGACTGTGCAGTAGTGAGCTGAAAGCTAAAAAACAGAAGAAAGAACAATAAATATACTTTACGCCAACATCAAATACTTAATCTGGTTTCAGTATTTTTTTCTATATGGTGCTTGACCAGGTACAGTCATGGACTATCTAACAGGCTTGATTTGATCCATTTGGAAACATATAGAAAAAAAAGGGTAATTCTAGACCACCAGTGCATTTTGGCTTTTCTAGCGTTTTTAAACTGATTCGTGATGGTTTGTTGTTTTCATAAACATTTTGAGATGTTTGAGTCTAGTGTCTTAAACCAATCAATAGACTGATGGCTGATTTTAGGCCATCGTTTTAATTGTCGCACCTCTCCCCATGAGTGATATAGGTGAAGTATTGCACTCTGAGATAATCCCCTCTACATTAGTAGCGGAATGTGATTCAGTCTGAAAATTTTTACACCCGAATATCTGATGTTACCTGACTGTAGTGCAGTGGTGGAGATGTTCTTAAAGATTCAATTCAGAGGCGAAACTGTTGATTTACTCTAGTTGATGGAATAGTCTAATATAGACAAGTGATCTATAAGTGTGATCATCTTAAGAAGAGAGGTATGTGAGTTCTCAAGGTAAAGTAACACATCATCAGCATATAGGCTTATCCTATGGTCTGTTTTTTTCAGTTTGAATTCCTTTAATAGCGGAATTTTGTAGGATTGCTGCTGCTATTGGCTTAATGAAAATGATGTAATCTGAAGATTTGCGAGGCTGTTTGTCCTATCAGTATTATGTCTCATAGTAAGTTACTGTGTACCCACGTGCAGGTAGACACTTTTGTAGGTTAAAGTCAGGAGGTTGTGCACGTTAACAAAGTGATGTTTTTTTATTGCAGGTGTGGGATTCGTATTTCTACCTGTCTGTAATATTTATCAACCAGCCCTGTCTTCAACTTGAATCCTTCTCTCCCTCCAAGAGAAAGAAAATACTGGAAAAGTAAGTGCTGATTATTTGCAAATGCTTGGTATTCTTTGCTGGATGCGTTAGAGCAGTCTGTAATGAGCCACACGCCTACTCAACAAGCCGCTCTATCTTGCTCCTCCTGTCTGTCAAGAACCTCAACACAGCTGGACACACAGTGTACACTCACTCTAATGACTGCTTAACATGCTCTTCTACAGCTTCCATCAGTATGTGCACACATTTTTAACTGCATCTTGTTGTTTTTTTT